TGACACAGTCTTGAAGAATTGCATTACCGATTGATTACACGAAACCAAAGTTCAGTAGAACTTCGGTTTCAACTCCTTTTGACCATGTCGTAGCTCAGTCGATTAAGCGTCTGGGATGCTCTCGGACGCAGGTTCGAATCCTCGTCATGGCTCTTGTGGATTTGTTCATTTGATGCATCACGCAATTATGATTTCTGTGTGTAAACGATTTCGAGTTTTTTTTTATTTCCACAGCCGGACCTGAGGCAAGGATTGCTTTGCGCCTGCCTGGTCCGTGAAGCTGTCTTCGTAGTCCGAAGACCCACATATGACAGGCACACTGATCCCGTAGTACAGTAAACCAAGCATACCCGAGCACCTTGAAATGCTCTGTACCCCCCCCCCCCCACCAGTCTTGCCCTGCTACTCTCACGTCCTCAAATCACAAGACAAAATTAGAAACCAAAGCTTCGTGTGCACAGCCCCGCTCCTGTGTCAGGTAAGTCCACTACGGGCTCACCACAGCCCGTGCTACTGGAACTTATTGTTCAAAGTAGCTGAATCTATAACAACAACAACAGCTTCGTGTGGTTTTTCGCCGGCTACCAAAATCAGCATGAAAATCACCCCGGTATAAGGCACTAAAACAGTACTAAACAGAAGTCTATAGACACTTTCATCGGGAAAGGTGATATTCAACACTTAATAATAAATTCCTGCCACTCGGGCACGGAAGTGTGTGTATAAGCCGCTACCTACAAAAGAGAGCAAACTTTACTCCCAATATGGGACGGGAGTGGAGGGGTGGGAAGGGACAGGTAGGGGGTGACAGGGGGGGGGGGCTCATCATCTGTCCCGGATATCTAGTGATTGTGGAGTTGCCAGCTAGTGGTCAGCGCACACCCCCAGTCTGCACTTGACACTCAGAAGTGTCTCTGCCACGTCGAGCCACTCAGACACACACTCAGGACGCTGGCTGCCCAGCTCGGCCGGAGGAACAGGTGGCCAGACACCACACGCAACCATACGCCTGCAGTAACAACCTGCTCCCTCCAGGCCACTGTAGTTATTTGACGATTGTGACAATTGCCTCACGCGGGGTCAGATGGACATTGTGGCCTAGCGGTGTCCTAGTATAGGTCTCGCAGCGGTCCACCACTCGTGAACAAGAGTCCTATGATGTCTGGCCCTCGTGTTGGATCCGATCAGGTGATGTCACATGTGTCTGGCAGCATCAATGAAAGCATTAAGAGGGGGGGGGGTGGAGGAGGCAAGGTGATGCTGCAACTCATCTCCATGCTGCCAGCATCACACTGGAAGTATTACTCTCATCCATTTACATAAAAGATCCATTAGGGATCCGCCTGGCGCTCAGGATATTGTGCGTTGGTTTGTGCCTTAAAGACAACGGGGAGAAGGTAACGGAGGGGGGGGAGGGGGGTATGGGGGGTAAAAGTAGACAAAATCACAAACTAGTGAGAAAATATATCGACAAAGACTAGTGCTAGTAACGGTGACGGGCCGCCACTAGTAACGGTGACGGGGGTGCCACTGGTGCTAGTAACGGTGACGGGGTGCCACTAGTAACGGTGACGGGGTGCCACTAGTGCTGCTAGTTAGTTATTCGAGGCTGTTCACCATGACTTGGTTTTTGTTGCTTGTACGTGATGAGGTGGAGGAGTACCAGCAATAACAACAGGGAGCAGCAGCGGTAGGAGCAAGAAAGGAGAGAGAGAGAGAGAGAGGAGTAAAGGAGAGAGAAGGAGGAAGGAGGCACCACCACCACCACCTGTGGCCGGCCAGTAACGAAGCTCAGCCCGTTAACACCAAGTCACTTTTAACAACGGACGTTTTGTTATTCCATAACACGCATCTCGCGCTCAGAGTAACACTTTCCCCATTATCCTACAAATGTTCCTCCACCTCAACAGCTCATCTGCGTCACGCTGGTGATGCGTCACTTTTTGCGTCCGCAAGTGTTGCTTTACAGCGTCTTCTGGGCATTGAGAGAGAGACTGGTCGTTGATGTTGTCTTATACACAGATTTAACGGGAGAATGATGTCGACGAATGGATGGGATTCAGTGGTGGAAGGAACTGGAGTAGAGAGACGGTACTCGTCTAGTTGTGCTTGCGAGGGGTTGAGCTCTGGCTCTTCGGTCCCAGCATGGAATGGGTAGAGGAATGCGAGGATAGGTGGAGGGACGACGAGTCCAGTGGGAAGAATGTTTTGTGCGGAAACTACTCGACGGGAAGTGCATAGAGCAGAGGCCGGAAGTGGTCTGTGTGCGTGTGTGCGGTTGAACGAGTCTGAATTCACTGCCTCAGACCGAGCGAGACACAGACACACACATACCTGACTCCGCTGGTGGACCCAGATGGTGGGTGGACACAGATGGTGGTGGACTAGTTACTGCAGCGTATCACAATCTAGCTTTTAACCCCCATCTGGTATAACTTACTCGGCAGTAGTCGAACTGCAGGAGTGTGGGGGGTTGGGGGGTTGGAGTTAGTGGGGAAGCCTAGTGGGGTGATGATTGGGGGAAGTGAAGGGGGAGGGGGGGGGTGGAGGGGCAGAGAGGGGGGGGGAGGATGCGGGTGGCTGGGGGGGGGATTATAACCTTAGCGTGCGTGAGATCAAATAATTTGTCTGTTTTGTAGCGAGGATGATTGTGTGTGTGTGTGTGTGTGTGTGTGTGTGTGTGTGTGTGTGTGTGTGTGTGTGTGTGTGTGTGTGTGTGTGTGTGTAAGAGCAGCTAAGCCAAGCTTTTCCTCTTGGAAGTACGGGTGTATGTAAGATCCTTCACATGTATTTCAACATATATGGATACATAGTTGAAAAATGTATAGCGTTGACACATTCCATTGCTTGTTTTGACGTTCTATTCAAGGGTCTTTAATTTTTTTTGGTGGGGGAGGGGGGGGAGGGAGGACTCTGACCTGCATTTCATCTTGGAGGTATTTATTGTGGGTCTTGGTCCTCGTAAGGGCCGACCCAGCCTCTCAAGTCACCAGCTGTGGGAGTGGAGCAGTCTCAGCCTCCTGAAATAATAGTCCTGATGGTTACTTTCGACCAGATAGTTACTGTTAGGTATGTTAAGGAGGCTGGGATACCTTCTAACAATGGTCTCATAACACTTTGATCGCGTTCCCCACATGATGGCTTCCTATTGTAGTCGGTCGGCCGAGCGGACAGAACACTGGACTTGTGATCCTGTGGTCCCGGGTTCAATCCCGGGCGCCGGCGAGAAACAATGGGCAGAGTTTCTTTCACTCTATGCCCCTGTTACCTAGCAGTAAAATAGGTACCTGGGTGTTAGTCAGCTGTCACGGGCTGCTTCCTGGGGGTGGAGGCCTGGTCGAGGACCGGGCCGCGGGGACACTAAAGCCCCGAAATCATCTCAAGATAATGTATTGGCACAACCCGTCTGCAAATCCCCCTCCCTCCCTCCCCCCTCCACACCACCACTAGTTCCCCCCCCCCACCACCTCCAGCTCCCCCCCCCCCCACCACCACCAGCTCCCCCCCCCACCACCACCAGCTCCTCCCCCCTCCTCCCCCACCGTTCCACCCCAGCCCATACATCAAACAAGCACATATAGCAGCTGGTAACTGCCGAGTGGACAGTTAACGCTGCCGCCTGAGCTGGTGGCAGAGTTAACTAGCGGATAACGCCAGGGTTTACGGCAGTGGGGCGGGTCCTGGGGGAGAGTTGGGGAGAGGGGAAGAGTTGGGGAGAGGGAAGTGGGGGAGAGATAAAGGAGGGAGGGAGGGAGGAGGGGGGTGAGTGTTCTCAAATAATAATCTCATCAAATGAAGGAGTACTTGGGGACTGGTGTATGGGTTTTATTTCACTAACATTATATATATATATATATATATATATATATATATATATATATATATATATATATATATATATATATATATATATATATACACATACTCAGGGAATATATACACGTGGGGTGTCTCGGGGTATATTCTCCCAGAGTATACAAAGCCTAATGCAGATAAAAATAAAATAGGTAATGGCTACCGTGTGTAGCCTAGTGCGTGCAGCCTAGTGTGTGCAGCCTAGTGCGTGCAGCCTAGTGCGTGCAGCCTAGTGCGTGCAGCCTAGTGCGTGCAGCCTAGTGCGTGCAGCCTAGTGTGTGTAGCCTAGTGTGTGCAGCCTAGTGCGTGCAGCCTAGTGCGTGCAGCCTAGTCGTCGCATAACCTTTCAGTCGCTTTTTCTCGCTTTGTCGATGCATATCAGTAAGCTGTGAACGCCTCGGAAGTGGCAGACACTTGTGGTTGGACGGGGAGGAAGTCTTCAACTTTTCCTCTTGAAGTTTCGAAAGGCTTTTCCGAAAGTGTCTAGGCATTTTATATTTTCACTGAGGATGGTGGCAGGTTCACTTCTGTTTTCCCTCCATAGCTGAAGCCCGTGTACGTTATCCTGATTGGCAGTTGACATTCCAGGAGAGTGGTGACAACATACAAGTATTCGAGAGTGTAGTTCAGTGCCCCCTGTTTCGGTTCGTGTTTAAGATACAGCAAAGGGTAGCTATTTTTTTTATTCCGTGAGTCTGTATATTTGTTACTGGTGTGTGTGTGTGTGTGTGTGTGTGTGTGTGTGTGTGTGTGTGTGTGTGTGTGTGTGTGTGTGTGTGTGTGTGTGTGTGTGTGTGCGGTTCCCCATTATTGACATTAGTCGCATTCATTTTCCACTCGACTCCTGTCCCAATTTTTAGCGTAATATGAAAAGGGAAATGTAGTGTATATGGACATGAGGTCAGGGAGAGTCAGGCATATACGCTTGTTGAGAGATGCTCAAAAAGTATCTTCCATGAAAGAAATGTCAAACACGGGATATTTTTTACAAATATTTTTCATGTCGTATCTCCAGGCTCACTGCTAGGAGGTACCACAATACCCAAGACAGTGTTGAAGTCTGGGCGATTTATAGCACCAATTTATGTCTTTTGATGTCTTCTAAGGTCCACATGTATTTTGATGCGTTAATTTTCTATTTGCAGAGTGTGAAGGAGGAGAGACTGTGTGGCGAAGAACGTGCGGTGTAGGAACTTATGACCAAGACTTAAGACGAGGCTGTTGTGGCCAAACTTGATGAGAGAAATTGTTGGTGGACTTACCAGGAAAAGTTGAGGCGTAATTAGAGGGATGTGAGTTAACGTGGACAGAGGCTTGTTAGCCAGGCTGGTGGCCTCGCCACCAAAGAAAAGACGAACCACCGGAGCGCGCCACTGACCGAGGAGCTATGGCCGCCATAGTCTAGAATACTCCACAGGCGTGTCGTTACATGCTATTGTAAGCTAATTCCGACTTTCTATTCCCTTTCTTCCTTCTTTGCTATCTTGAACCTTCTTCTCTGTCTTTCATCTTCCACTGAGTTATCTCTCTCGCGGCTCCAGCGATCTTCAAGATGAAGTTGAAGGAGCGTGTAGTCATCGCGGTGATGACCGGTCTGGTTCTCCTGACGGTGGTCTTGGTGCTCGACGTGGAAACTCGCCTCGCCTCAAACGGGCGCTCCCACACGCCCGCCCACGCCCGCGTCCAGTACGCCTTCCGACAGCGACACCTGCAGAAGACCAGCAACGGATCCCGCGAGGCCTCCCTGGCGGCGGCGGCTTCGGCTCAACTCAGCGCGGCGAATGACGACCCCGCCCACCCTCCCGCAGCCGCAGGCGAGGCCCTGCTGGGCGTGGGCGCCACTAACGGGCGAGAAGAGCCGAAGGCCACGCCTACCGTCCCTCCAGACCCCTACAAAGACTTGGTGGAAGTCGTCACGAAGGTGGAAAATCTAAGCAAGAAGACCCGTCGACGACGCAAGCACTGGAACCCTACTCTTGGGGAACTCCTCGGACTCGATCTCAGGTAAGTCACTTTGTTTTGTTTGACTGACAATAAAGGTGTAATTCCCCTCAAAGCCTCTGACGCGTAATGTGCGAAGCCAACTTATTAATATTGGTAAGTAAAGAAAGGGTTAAAACTACATGTGTGGTCTCCAGAAGATATGTTCGTTGACGTAGGTGTCTTTGTAAGTTCGAGATCGAAGATCTCTCTTAAGATGCCAGGTGGTAGAGAAGCAGAGAACCGAGCAACCAGTCGAAGATCAGTACAGCTGGAGCATCAACCTCCAGGGCTCCACGACCTGCATTTTCAGATATCACAGCCTGATTGATCGGCTCCTAGCAGGTGTTTTGTCATGTTCTCTCTCAAACACCCTCACTTGAAGTCTACTAGCCATGTCCTCATATTTAGAGTTAAACAAAACCTTGGGCCATTAATATTTACGGAATTGTCCCTTAGAATATCTATAGTACGAATACTTTGTAATGGGACCATTATGGACATCCTGCCGCGACTCTTGCTCTTGTATGGATAATATTCCAGATCCAGATCCAGATATTCCAGATACCAGATCCCGCAGGCCATCATACCTCTCCAAGAATGATAGTACCTGCAGCTGCCACGGATGGAATATACAAATTATGGACTGTTGTGCCCAAAATGTTCACGTTTTGTTCTGTTAATTTCGTAGGGTGGCCCCCGGAAACGGAGGCAGCAATCAAGACTAACTTTTTCTCGGCCTAGTATAGTACATAAATAATTGTTTTACCGGAGGGTAGGCAGCCAGTGTATGCGTTAGGTTGATAACAAAAAAGTAATGACAATTAGTTTTCTACAGGTACAACAGCCCAAAATGTTGTACATTCTATCCAAAAGGATTTAAAGATTCAATAATTTTTGGAGGATGGGTTGATGTATTCCTCTCGCCTGAGCTCCAAGTATAATTTAAGGGATTTGATGCGGCAAATATAATTTAAGGTTTGTTTAAATTGGTAGTATTCCTCCGTTAATAGTACTAGGTGCCATCATTGCTCTGACATCTCTCATTATTACGTCTATAATTTGTCTTATAGGTGTGAAAACTGCGTTATTGCGCTAAATATAATGCCTTCCGGCGTGCTTAATTCTCTGAATGTTTTGGCTAATTATGTGGGTTAGGCAAGACTGTAGTTGGACGGTGCGCGAATGTATTTTCTGTGCCTTGTTTGTGGCCAACGACGCTTCGTGTTATATTTAAGCTTTGCATGTTTTTCGGCATGCGGCACCAGGGTGTATGTGACAGTCAGTCATTTGGCGTCTAAATGGCTGACGTTCTTAGTCTTCACAAAAGCTATTACTCTCTTCAGCTCGAGCAATTGATCCCCCTCTCTCTCTCTCTCTCTCTCTCTCTCTCTCTCTCTCTCTCTCTCTCTCTCTCTCTCTCTCTCTCTCTCTCTCTCTCTCTCTCTCTCTCTCTCTCCTTCTCACTCGTCTCTTCATCAACTCCGTCTATGAAGCTTCAGTGTCCCTTTCCTGTCTTGGAAGCAGTATATATAAGGTGGCTGGATGTATAGGTCGCCGTCACACGAGGGTGTAGCGTCACTGCAGGTTCCCGCCTTAATAAGTGAGGTTGCTGGCGGGGACATATGGAGCTGCGCGCCTGTAACAATACGAACCTTTCCATTGCTGGACCCCAAGACATATGTCGCTGTAACCCATTCCCGGGAGGCGACAACTCTTACCTGGACTAAGCTGTTACTCAAGCATCCACGTGCTTCCTCTGCCGAGCTGCTATGACCTTGAAATCCCTCCCCTGCCGGGCTGCTATGACCTTGAAATCCCTCCCCTGCCGGGCTGCTATGGCCCTGAAATCCCTCTCCCTTCTCACCTGGCTGATCTATTATTCCAAGTTCATTTGGCAAGGTGGTGGCTGCGACGGTGCTGGGGCGCCTCCACCAGGCTCTATTCCCAACAAACATCCAACTTTAAATACTCACTTAATCGCTCCAGTTTACTGAATGCGAGAGGCCGCGTTCGCTATGCAAATTATTTATGCAAATGTCCAGACGTGACGTCGGGGAAAATACTAAAATGAAGAAAATAGCAACATAAAAGTTGCTTCTCTTCCCATAACGAGTGTAAGAGGGATTTTAACACTGGTAGCATCAGATGGGACCGGTTACATGATCCCCCCCTCCCCTCTCTCTCTCTCTCTCTCTCTCTCTCTCTCTCTCTCTCTCTCTCTCTCTCTCTCTCTCTCTCTCTCTCTCTCTCTCTCTCTCTCTCTCTGTGTCTGTCTCTGTCTCACACGAACGACTGTCTGTATTTAAGACATCATAATTATTAACACAATTACAGAATTAAATGTAAAGTTTGGTCACGTGAAATATTTCGAATCCGTGTCGGAGGTAAAAACTGAAAGACGAAGACCCACTTTTTATTGAGCGGTGTTTCCACACACAGTCCTAGGCTCTGGGCGCCTGACAGCTGGGTGGACAGCGCTTCGGATTCGTAGTCCTGAGGTTCCGGGTTCGATCCCCGGCGGAGGCAGAGACAAATGGGCAAAATGTTTCTTTCACCCCTGATGCCCCTGTTACCTAGCAGTAAATAGGTATCTGGGAGTTAGACAGCTGCTACGGGCTGCTTCTTGGGGGTAGGGGGGGAGGGGTAACAAATAGGAGGCCTGGTCGAGGACCGGGCCGCGGGGGACACTAAGCCCCGAAATCATTTCAAGATAACCTTCAAGGAGGTAGGCTGCGGTGTTTGGTTATTTAGCTGTTGGGTTGCAACGCGCCGGTTGCATCGTTGCAATGATTGGTTATAATACATTTATTATTGATGACATTGTTGGGTTCCCCTCCCCCCTCCCCCCCTTCCAGCCGTGTCATAAATACTAAATGTGGTGTAAGCAATCCCTGCAACATACCTCGGCAAGCTTCCGCTACTGAAGTGCATATTCAGACTACCAAATGTTGCAGATTTGAAGCTTTGCAAGAATTGCATGGAGCATGCAAGAGTGTGTTTTTGTTGTATGCTCACACGTGTTGCATGTGTGTTGAGTATCCCCGTCGTCACGCTGGTTACATCCAGGTGTAGCAGACACACTATCAGCATGACCCCAACATAATGAACTGTGGCGCTCTATTCCCGTAGACTTCGTCACACGTGTTTAGTCGCGCAGGGAGGGAGGGTGTGATGGACTTATTACATGTCTCTCTATGACTAGCCGTCCTGTGTGATGGGGATTTGTTTATAATCATGGAGCTCTTGACATTTTATGTAATCCTTCGTGTAATCTAGGGGAGGCTGTATAAATCTTGGGAAGACGGTGGCCATCAACGCCTTGAAGCAGTTGGCCATCTGTGTGTGGGTCCATCGGTTAAGGTTAGGTTGGGCAATTTAATACATCATTTTCCGTGCGGTGTGATGACTGGAGGGGGTCGGGCTGCACCCATTACCTAGCCTAGGAACTCAGCCTTTTTCAGCCTTAACCCTCAAACTGTAAGTCCGTCTAGATCGTATTGAAGTACTTTAGAGTATCTTTAGAGTGTAAACTTCAAGCAGATATTAATAACATTTTTGACTGGGTAACAAAAAATAACATGATGTTTAACAGTGATAAATTCCAGGTACTCAGGTACGGTAAAAATGAGGACCTTGAACATAATACAGGGTACAAAACACAATCAAATGTGCCCATAGTAAGAAAGCAACATGTAAAGGAGGATCAGTAAAGAAAAATGATCGGATGAATTACATCACAATGGTTGTACTATACAAATACCTTGTGTTGTCCCGTCTCAGCACCTTATTGGGATCGTCTCAAAGCCCTCCAAATGTACTCACTAGAAAGAAGACGAGAGAGATGTCAAATAATATATATGTGGAAAATACTGGAGGGCCAAGTACCAAATCTACACAATAAAATAACAACGTACTGGAGTGAACGATATGGAAGGAAATCTAGAATAGAACCAATGAAAAGCAGAGGTGCCATAGGCACAATCAGAGAACACTGTATAAACATCAGAGGTCCGCGGTTGTTCAACACCCTCCCAGCGAGCATAAGAAATATTGCCGGAACAACCGTGGACATCTTCAAGAAAAAACTAGACCATTTTCTCCAAGGAGTGCCGGACCAACCGGGCTGTGGTGGATATGTGGGCCTGCGGGCCGCTCCAAGCAACAGCCTAGTGGACCAACTCTCACAAGTCAAGCCTGGCCTCGGGCCGGGCTTGAGGAGTAGAACAACTCCCAGAACCCCATCAACCAGCTATCAACCAGCATTCTGAATCTATTTACCCGCCCCATTTTCGTGTATTCTACAAACAGTGTTGCTCAATCCTGAACTTAAATCGCTTATAGATGTGGTAAACTACTGGGCCTCAAGGTAGAATCCTCAGCAATAGTTTCCTACTCTGATTTAACTCCATTAATTCTCCATTTGACATAACGATGCCTCTTGTCGAACCTAAGATACCACGCCAATACCGCGAGAGCCTCTACATTTCTACTCCGAGTCTTTCCCGGGACAGAGTATCAAAAAGCTTGGCTAAAGTTGAAGGTCCACAACATTACAATTTTTTTCCGCTATCAGCTCTCTCAAACATGATGTAATAGAAGGAAAAATAATTTGTCAAACATGAGCTGAATAAACCCGTGTTGTGAATCATTTATTTAGCTGTTTTTCCGAATTGTTGATGAGTGGCTTTTTTGCGGTTATCAGTTAAAGCAGTTTTCCTACAATAGACGTTAAGCTGATTGGCTGATAGTTTGACGGAGTGAGGGGTAGGGGGGAGGAGGAAAATACCCCAGTGATTAATGTAGACACTGATAAGCACTGAGTGGGACCAAGCGCATGACACTGATAACATTCTCTAAGGCAACAAAGGCACACACACACATACACACACACACACACACACACACACACACACACCACACCACACACACACACACACACACACACACACACACACACACACACACACACACACACACACACACACACACACACACAGCCTCGTCAGATAATCTGCTAGTAA